CTTTTGTCTTTCCTTTTGTTGATGTGGTATATCACACTAATTGATTTGCATTGTTGAACCATCCTTGTGACCCTAGGGTGAATCCAACTTGATCACAGTGTATGATCTTTTTTATCTGTTGTTGGATGTGGTTTGCTAATATTCTGTTCAAAATTTTTGCGTCTATATTCATCAAAGATACTGGCCTGTAATTTTCCTTTTTAGTAGTATCTTTGTCTGGTTTTGGTATCAGGGTCTTGGTGGCTCATAGAAGGAATTTGGGAGTGTTCCCTCCTCTACAGTCTTTTGGAAGAGTTGAGTTTTTAAAAATTAACTAATTTACTTACTTTTGGCTGTGCTGGGTCTTGGTTGCTGTGCTCGGGCTTTCACTAACTGTGGTGCACAGGCTTCTCATTGCCATGGTGTCTTGCTGCAGAGGCTCTAGGGCATGCAGGCTTCAGGAGCTGTGACGCATGGGCTCAGTTGCCCTGTGGCATGTGGAATCCTCCCAAAGCAGGGATCAAACTGGTGTTGCCTGCATTGGCAGGCAGGTTCTTACCCACTGGACCACCAGGGAAGTCCTGAAAGGGTTTCAGAAGGATCACTGCAAGTTCTTTTATGTTTGGTAGAATTCCCCAGTGAAGCCATCTGGTCTGGTCCTAGACTTTTGTTTGAAGGGAGTTTATTCTTTTTTGGAATTACAGATTCTGTTTCCCTTCTAGTGGTTAGTCTATTTCTTTTTGATTCCCTTGTGGAGGGCTGTGTGTTTCTAGAAACTTGTCCATATCTTCTAGGTTGTCCACTTTGTTGGCATATGACCCTTTAGAGTATACTCTTGTGATTTTTTTTTTCTTTTTATGTTTCTGCAGTATCAGTTGTTATTTCTCTTTTTTTGTTTCTCATTTTGTTTATTTGGGTTCTCTGCTTTTTCTTGGGGAGCCTGGCCACAGGTTTTTTTTTTTTTTTTAGGAGCCTGGTAGGCTACAGCCCATGGGGTCGCAAAGAGTTGGACATGACTGAGTGACATCACTTTCTTTCTTTTTTTTTTTTTCCATTTATTTTTATTAGTTGGAGGCTAATTACTTTACATCATTGCAGTGGTTTTTGTCATACATTGAAATGAATTAGCCATGGATTTACATGTATTCCCCATCCCGGTCCCCCCTCCCACCTCCCTCTCCACCCGATCCCTCTGGGTCTTCCCAGTGCACGAGGCCCGAGCACTTGTCTCATGCACCCAACCTGGGCTGGTGATCTGTTTCACCCTAGATAATATACATGTTTCGATGCTGTTCTCTTGAAACATCCCACCCTCGCCTTCTCCCAGAGTCCACAAGTCTGTTCTATACATCGGAGTCTCTTTTTCTGTTTTGCATATAGGGTTATCGTTACCATCTTTCTAAATTCCATATATATGTGTTAGTATACTGTAATGGTCTTTATCTTTCTGGCTTACTTCGCTCTGTATAATGGGCTCCAGTTTCATCCATCTCATTAGAACTGATTCAAATGAATTCTTTTTAATGGCTGAGTAATATTCCATGGTGTATATGTACCACAGCTTCCTCATCCATTCATCTGCTGATGGGCATCTAGGTTGCTTCCATGTCCTGGCTATTATAAACAGTGCTGCGATGAACATTGGGGTACATGTGTCTCTTTCAGATCTGGTTTCCTCGGTGTGCATGCCCAGAAGTGGGATTGCTGGGTCATATGGCAGTTCTATTTCCAGCTTTTTAAGAAATCTCCACACTGTTTTCCATAGTGGCTGTACTAGTTTGCATTTCCACCAACAGTGTAAGAGGGTTCCCTTTTCTCCACACCCTCTCCAGCATTTATTGCTTGTAGACTTTTGGATAGCAGCCATCCTGACTGGTGTGTAATGGTACCTCATTGTGGTTTTGATTTGCAGTTCTCTGCTGGCCACAGGTTTGTTGATTTTGTTTGTCCTTTCAAAACACTAGCTCTTGGTTTTATTGATTTTTTAAATTGTTTTCTTTATTTTATTTATTTACTGTCTGATTTTTACTATTTCCTTCCTCCTGCTGACTTTAGGTTTTGTTTGTTCTTTTTCAATTTCTTTTAGGTGGTAGGTTAGGTTGATTTTCTTGAGATTTTCTTTTTTTGAGGAAGGCCCATATGGGCTTCCCTTGTGGCTCAGCTGGTAAAGAATCCGCCTGCAGTGTAGGAGACCTGGGTTGGGAAGATCCCCTGGAGAAGGGAACGGCTACCCACCCCAGTATTCTGGCCTAGAGAATTCCATGGACTGTATGGTCCATGGAATCGCAAAGAGTCGGACAGGACTGAGTGACTTTGACTTTCACTTTCACTTGTTTCACTTTGAACTTCCTTCTTAGGGCTGCTTTTGTTGCATCCTGTAGATTTTGGGCTTCCCAGGTTGCACTAGCGGTAAAGAATCCACTTGTCAATGCAGGAGGTGCAGGAGATACGGGTTCAATCCCTGGGTTGGGAAGATCCCCTGAAGGAGGGCACGGCAACCCACTTTCATACTCTTGCCTGGAGAATCCTATGGACAGAAGAACTTGGCAGGTTACAGTCCATGGGGTCACAAAGAGTTGGACACGACTGAAGTGACTTAGTATGCTCAGATTTTGTATGATTGTGTACAACCTCATTTTTGTGCTTAAGTTGCTTCAGTCATGTCTGACTCTGTGACGCTATGGTCTGTAGCACAGCCAGACTTATCTGTCCATGGGATTTGTGACGCTATGGTCTGTAGCACAGCCAGACTTATCTGTCCATGGGATTTCCCTCATTTTGAAACGTGTTAAAATTCTTAGGGCCCCACTGCCTTTTCTCTTAGAGTGAGCCATAGGACTTACCTCAAGAATTGTTGTAATTGAGATTTTGAAAGCGACAGACTTGATGTCCTACCTGCAATGCCTCGGAGACCGTCCTGAGGCGGCCCTGGCAGTGTGCCCTCCCTGCCGCCCCTCTCTCGTCCCATGCTCCTGGATGGTTCTTCCTGGCGTATTTGGTGGTTCTAGCCTTTTCAGTAATTCTCTGAGTGGCCTAAGCTAGGTACCTCTTTGGCACCAAACAACTTTGTTTTTCTTCTGTTTCCCCAAGAACAGCAGTCATGGCGATGGGTGGACAGGGGGTGGAGGCTCGGGGTCTCCAAGTCCGAGTACGGAGGTGAAGTGTGGTAGCTCACGCGATAGAGGCCTCCTCAGTGTCCTCAGAGCTTTTCCTCTTTTACCTGCTTCCTCACGTGAGGAAGGTCTCGTTAATTCCTGTTTGCAGATGGGAAAGCTGGGGAGTGAGGAGCGTAAGCGTCCTGCCCAAGGTCACCCAGCTGGGAAGCCGCTGAGGCAGTGTGGGTCCAAGTTTACCTTTGAAGCCAGTGCTTCTGAGATGCGAGCATGATGGGGAAGCCCAGCGGGCCTTCTTAAACACAGAGCGCTGGGCCCACCCAGAGATCTGAGTAGGTGGTCAGGGCTGGGGCCCAAGACCCCGCAAGTCTTGATGAGCTCCCGGGGGGCCATGTTGCTGGTCCCACAGCCAGAAGTAGAGAGGCGCCAGCCCGCTGTCCTGCCTCCCTGAGTCTGCCCGTATGCTGGTGTGGGTCATGCCCGGCCTTTACCCATCTGTGGGGAGGCAGCCAGAATGGAAGGGCAGACAGTGGGCATGGCAGTGCTGGCTTCGCAGGGTGGCTGGTGAGGACTCAGAGGACAACTTGTCTGGCCAGGGCCCAAGGCTGAGACTGCAGACTGCAGGCCCATGAGTGGCAGGAGTTCTGTAGACTGTTTTTGCTGGCAAGCACAGCTTCCAAAACGAGTAGATCTAGTGGCTGACATTTCAGCTTCAAAAGTGACAGCATTAAGATCTGTGTTTTCTAGCTTCCTTTGCACAGCTGGAAGCTCTCACCACAGGCAGCTCTCTCCCAGCAGGGCCTGGGAGCTTAGCAGGAGGGCCGCTCCCTTGTGGGTCTGGTGCCCCAGGGCCTCGCTGTCCAGTTTTCCTCCTTGGCCCCCACATGAAATGCAGGTCGCTCAGTCGTGTCCGACTCTTTGCAACCCCATGGACTATACAGTTCTTGGAATTCTCCAGGCCTGAATACTGGAGTGGGTAACCTTTCACTTCTCCAGGGGATCTTCCCAACCCAGGCATCGAACCCAGAGTTCCCGCGTTGCAGGCAGATTCTTTACCAACTGGCCACCAGGGAAGCCCAAGAGTACGGGAGTGGGTAGCCTATCCCTTTTCTAGAGGATCATCCTGACCCAGGAATCGAACTGGGGTCTCCTGCATTGCAGGCGGATACTTTACCAGCTGAGCTACCAGGGAAGCCCGTGGCCCCCATGAGGGCATGGTATTAACACAGGACAGTGAACTGAAGTTTGAATTCCATTCCTGACTTACTGTCTCTCCGTCCTCAGGCAGATTAATTAACCTTAGTGTTTTTACTCACCTGCAAAATAGGGCAAACAAGGCCTACTCTGCAGGTTCACTGAATGATGATGCAAAGCAGTCCACCTGGTGCTGGCCGGGTTGTGGAGGTTCAACCTCCAGGGGTCTCTGTGAAATCGTGTTGCCTCTGTAGGAAGGGAAAAGCCACGCGGAGCCCGCCGTGGCACTCAAGGGTGACAGTGTGACTTCTGATGGCGAGATGGGGCCACCTTTCATAAGACACGGTGCAGCTGGCCCTCGTCCGTGGGTGCTTTGCGAAACTGCCCACGTAGCACCTGGTCTGCCCCGCCGCCGGCCCTCTCACTGGACTTCGCCAGCAGCGGAGGAGAATGCCCGAGGGTTCTTGTGTCTGCTGTGGGAGGCAGCCGTGTCCTGGGCTTTCTGGGGCCTCGCTCTTGAACTTTGTAGTGACTACGCATGGAGGCTGATTTCTTCTGTGCTGGTTAAAGGTTAAGCTGCCCCCTGTCAGCCTGACTGGTTCGAGTCCCTTCACATGGTCATCTGCTCGTTCCTGGACTTCCTCTGCTTGTCTTTCCTCTGGCATGAATTAATTAACCTGTTGTTTTTTTCTTTTCTTTTTTTTTTCCCTCCAGATTATTTGCTCTCTAATAACTATGTAAATTCTATCATTGTCCACAAATTCGACTTTTCTGATGAGGAGATTATGGCATATTACATATCATTCCTGAAAACACTTTCGTTAAAACTCAACAACCACACAGTCCATTTCTTTTACAATGAGGTAAGTAGCTGCACAGAGGCGTGTTTGGTTGGAAGCTAGCCAGTTCAAGCAGCGCCTTTGGTTCGGGTGACCTTGTGTCTGTTTACAAAGCACGTATGCATTCACCGTTTCCTGATTCACTATTTCATAGCAACACTGTTTGACCTTGGCAGGGTTTTGTTTTTTTGCTTTTTTAATGGAACAAGTTACCTTTTCTGTTTTTAATGTAAAATTCAATTTGTGCCACCTGAGAGCGTGATACTCTTGGTGGGGAGAAGTGCCCAGAAATTAACCTGGGGTGTGTTCCTCTGTTGGCAAAACAGTGACGACTCCAGTCAAACCCAACTTTGCCACCTCCCTGTTATGTGACCTTAAAGGAGTCTTAGTCCTCTGAGCCTCACTTTCTTCATCTGAGAAATGGTGATGATAGTTTCTACCTTGAAGGGTTTTCCAGGGGTTGAATTAAATGAGATGTTGTCTTCAAAGCAACTAGTACGTACCTGATTCCCTAAAACTGTAGCCCTTGTTGTGCTTTGTACGCTAAAATCCCTGATATTCTTTGGGAGAATTACTAACAATTTAAATAAATGAGTTGCTATTGTTCTTACAGTTAAGAAGAGCTTGAGCGATCAGGTCAATAAATCTCACATTCCAAAAAGTACAGATTCTGGCCCTCCTGGGACTGTCTCATCCTGTGGCTCGATCACTTTGTGAGCGACCCAGACTTCTCCATTGTCCTGCCCTGCTGAGCTGGCATCTGTCTCTAGGCTCAAACCCCTCATGGGCTCAGGATGGCTGCAGAAGTCCAGACACCACATATTCACTTGCCACTGCTGAAAAGCCTGATGAGATCATGTCCTTTCTTGTGCCCCCTTCTAACTTGCCCCAAAACTTCTTTCCCAGAAGCCTCCAGCAGACTTCCTTTCCCATCTTGCTGGTCAGAATTCTGTCACATTTCTCTCACAGTGTGTCTGGTGTTGGGGAATGGCCTGGCAGGGCAGTTCTGGCTCAGTCTCGCAAGGCTGCAGTCATCCGAAGGCTGGATTAGGGTTGGGGGATCTGCTTCCAGGGTGGCTCAGCCACATGGCTGACCATTCAGCGCTGGCTGTTGCTGGGAGGCCTCAGTTACACAGTCCCTTCTAGGGGGTTGCTCGGGCGTCCTCCTGTCGTGGCAGTTGGCGTCCCATAGAATAAATGATCGCAAGACACCAGGCAAGCTGTAACGCTTTTCCTGACAGGGCCTCAGAAACCACACACCGTCTTCCATTGTCTTCTTTAGGCTGCCCAGGCCAGCCCTGACTCAGCGTGGAAGGAGGCACAGGGTGTGATTCCAGGAGGTGAGGGTCACTGGGCCATGTTGGAGGCCAGATGCCACACAGCCACGTGCTGTTTGTCCGGCAGGTGTCCTCTGATCGGTGGTCACATACGCTGCACAGCCTGTACTTGAAGTCAGACCACGGTCCCAGACATTTCCTCTGAGTTTGGGCAAAATCCACCCAGCTGTCTTTGTAGGATGTAGCAACAGCCTCCTGCACTTTGATTTGTTTTGTCTAGATTTGTAGTGAGCAAAAACTGGCCTCTTGCTCACACATCGTTCCTGAAATTGCTTTCGTTAAAACTCAACCACCACACGGTCCATTTCTTTTACAAGGGAAGGCCGCTCTTCCCTTTTACAAAGGGAAGGAATACTAGCTGCCAGCCACAAGGTGTGGGATGGTTTAGAAGATTGACGTTGTGTGGCCCAGTGCCTGGTACACAGTAGGTGCTCATTGACTGTGTCCAGAGACCAGAGGGGTGCTGTTTGCATTCTCCCAGAGGCTCTCCTGGGCAGAAGGAAACCCACCTGCGAAGTTCAGACCGGAGAGGGGGCCAGGTTCTTCCCCAGCTCAGGTGCAGCTGGGCTTCTGTGCATCTGCTGGTGGAGGGGCGGGGAGGGGAGGGCAGGATGCAGGGATTCTGGGGCCGTGGTGATGCTTCTGGAAGCATATCCAGCTGATCCCAGAGGAGTCACAGGAGCCTGATCTTTGAGGTGGACTTGGTTTCTGTTTCTGTGGGCTCGTGCCGTAGCTGCCACCTCTTAGGTGCACACCTGTGTTTAGTGCTCAAAGTCACGTTGCCCTCATTAGACAGGTGTCACCTCACTGAAGGTCACTGGTTGCGGCTTCCCTGCCTGGGGGTGCCCTATAGTCTCATCTCGTGCCATGAGAAACACTGGGCAGAAGAGGGCAGCGGAGCACGTCATTTCATGCTCCCGGGTCCTGCGCGCCTTTTCCTTAAGGCTCCGCTTCTCTGGTTCTGAACGGTTTTGATCTGTTCTCTGGTTTTGATCTGTTCTGATAACCCCTTTTAAATGGCAGAAGATTCCCAAGGCCCTCCTCTTCCACAGTAATGTTTACACTTGTAGTGTTTCCAAATGGAGATACATGTTAGCAAAAGGAAAGGAAAGTTAGTCGCACAGTCATGTCTGACTCTCTGCGATTCCATAGCCTATAGCTTGCCAGGTCCTCTGTCCATGGCATTCTCCAGGCATGAGTACTGGAGTGGGTTGCCAGTCCCTTGTCCAGGGGATTTTCCCAACCCAGGGATTGAACCTGGGTCTCCTGCATTGCAGGCAGATTCTTTACCAACTGAGCTACTAGGGAAGCCTATATATTAGCTAAAAGATGTTCTAAATGTAATGAGACTTTGCACTTTGCCTTTTGAAATGCTGCTTGTTGAAGCAGAATCTAATAACAACATCTGGAATTATCATCGAGTGCTCCTTTCGTATCGGGCACTGCACCTGAAATAATCTCATTTAATATTAGCAACCACGAAGTGGGAATTTTACAAATGTCGAAATGGAGACTTAGAAATACTACATCACATAGCTAAGACTGGTGGAACAGATCCTGAACCTAGGCCTGCCGTTGGCTGGACCCATTTCTGTTTCTTCCATGGTCTCACTGTCTCAGCCCTCTCCATGTTCCCCACAGGTTCATGTGGGTGCTATGTGTGTGTTTTACTGACATCTCTGATAGGCTTCCCTGGTAGCTCAGCTGGTCAAGTATCTGCCTGTAATGCTGGAGACCCCGGTTCGATTCCTGGGTTGGGAAGATCCCCTGGAGAAGGGATAAGCTACCTACTCCCGTATTTTTGGGCTGGAAAATTCCATGGACTATATAGTCCATGGACTCACAAAGAGTCGGACACGACTGAGCAACTTTCACTGATAGGGTTCAGAAATCCGGGGTAGGGGCAGGCCTGTTAATGGGTGTGTGACTCATTTTGGGTACTTGTTGTGTTTTAGCACACTAATGACTTCGCCCTGTACACAGAAGCCATCAAATTTTTCAACCACCCTGAAAGCATGGTCAGAATTGCTGTAAGAACCATAACGTTAAACGTCTACAAAGGTAAGTTCCCCTGTGAGCTTGCGCCTTGTTGGGTTTCTAACGTGACAGCTAGTGCTTGCTCTCATGAGGCCCTACAGACAGTTCTGTGGTGGTGACAGGGAGTTCATTTATGGCTGGGTTTATTATGGCTGGGGTTACCTGTCTCATGAAAGGTTGTCATCATGGACAACTTAGCCACCCCCTAACATAAATTCCTGTGCCTCCGCCTTGTCCACGCACACTTAGTTCTGCATGGGAAAGTCTCCCACAATGCCGACACAGGGAAGGCATGATGGCCTAAGAGAGGCACTTGTGTTAATTAGATAAGGCACAGCTGTCTTTGAACTAGTCTTTGAATTTGCCCCTTGGCCTGTAAAATATACTTTAGTACCGCCAGGAGGCGTGTTATCTGTAAATAATGCACAAGCGCATTTCTTGTTGCAAACAGCAGGGGGCAATGTTGTATTCTCAACCTGCCGCAAAGCCCAACAACAAATTCCTCCTCTCTCAAAAAGTACTGAACGCCCAGATCACTGCCCCCAGGAGAAAGCCCTCCTGTGGCTTCTCGCCCCCAGGGTCACAAAGGCTGGCTGGATAGGAGTCTCCTGGCCTGGAGTGTGCTGGGCTCTCTGCCCAACGACGCCCCGGTCGCTTCCCGTGTAGTCCCCACCCTGGAGCCGGGACCCTGTTTTCTCAGGGACCAGATGCTTTGACCTTCTCAAGTTAAGACGTTATTACTGGGGATGACCCCTAATTGGGAGGGGGGTTTAGGCACTGCTCGGGGACTCACTCCAGCCTGGTTCTGGGATGGCCTTAGACTGGAGAGCCTTCTAAGAGCTCAGAGTGGGGGCCATCTGGGGGTCATAACCTGGGGGCCAAATCCAGCTCTCAGACAGGTTTTCATTGGTTTAGATTTTTTTAAAAAAATACATAGTCATCGATATTTAAAATGAGAGAGCTGGAGTCACAGCCTGGATTTCTGACTTGAGAAGGTAGATGTGGCTGTTGCGGGCACACAGCCCTGCAAGGCAGGGGTGAACCAGCGCCGAGAATTGCTGCTCTGGGGTCAGGCCGTGCGCCTCCGTTCACCCGCTGGGCCTGCTGGCTTCGCTCGCCGGTTACTGGCCAGCCCACAGGCCTCTGGACTCATGACCCGGTCTGAGCCCCAGCCCTGCCGCCTCCTGCTCTCCGCTCTCTTCTAACCTGTGCCTTTCTGTTTAGATGCCTCCTGCCCTAGCTCTCTGCCCCTCTGAGCAGCTGTCTCACCCTCCCAGCTCCTAACCCTGTTAACTGTTGTCTGTTTTTTGCCTTTCCTTCAATGACGATTCCTGTGTTCCTTATTCCAGTGTCATGTAAGTTAATAACTTCTGGTTTTCTGCTTTCTTGACTTACCCTTACGTGCAAATACGAGAAACTTGCTTGAGAATGGTGTAGTTTTCATCGTAGTCTAGCTAAATGCACTGCTGATAAGGTTTCCTCGTGCACTATCAATGTTTAACCCAGATTCATTGATTTTGTTAATTATAAAAATAACATAACTACCTTCATAGTTTTCTGAATAAGGCAGCCATTTTAAAGTATTTCCAGGAAAGACAGAAAAGAGTCAGATTATAGTAGAGGGCTTTTTCATTGCATTTTTTTTTTTAAATCTCCCCCCAAGTTATTTTTGGTAGCTTGACTTATTTTTTTTCTCTTCTTTTGTGAATCTTCTCAGTGGATAACCAGGCCATGCTGCACTATATCAGAGACAAAACCGCTGTCCCTTACTTCTCCAATTTGGTCTGGTTCATTGGGAGCCACGTGATCGAGCTTGATAACTGTGTACAAACAGATGAAGAGTAAGTGACTACCCCAGGATGCCTGTTAGGTGGACAGAATGCTTTGGGGAGAATTCTGTTCTCATTGAGAAAAAAGCCAAACACTAGAATAAAACTTAACACCACCCCTCACCCCGCTCCTGTGCGTAGGCAGATTATGGACTTCCATACTCTGAAAGGTTCCACCCAGATTTCCACTGTTCTTAGCAATAGAAAGTTGGAAACCACTCAGATACCTCCCAGAGAGGAACAGGGTAAATGAATCGGGTGCACCCATAGAGGGAGTGCTGGGCAGCTGGTGTAAAGATGAAGATGACTTTCCACCAGTGGTTGGATAAACACTGCACAATATCTATCTCAGGATGGATGAGACACAGCTTGCAGTGGAATAATATTCGGCAATAAAAAGGACCAAAGTATCGACACATACAACACCCTGGGTGAACCTTGAAAGCATTATGCTCAGTGAAAGGATGCAAGGGGCCACATATTATATGATTCTACTTATATGAAATGGCCAGAATAGGCAAATCCATAGAAGCAATAGATTAGTGGTTTCCTAGGGTTGGAGGAGGGGTGTGTGGGGTGCGGTGCGGAAATGGAAAACGACTGCCTGGGCTTTTTTGAGGCGAGGGGATAAAAATATCCTAAGGTTGGTTGTGATAATGGTTGGAAAACTCTGTGAATATGTATTAGTCACTCAGTCATGTCTGATTCTTTGAGACCCCATGGACTGTAGCTCACCAGGCTTCTCTGTCCATGGGATTCTCCAGGCAAGAATACTGGAGTGGGTTGCCATTTCCTGTTCCAGGGGGTCTTCCCGACCCAGGGATCAAGCCCAGGTCTCCTGCATTGCAGGCAGATTCTTTGCCATCTGAGCCATTAAATTGTATACTTTAGGTAAAGATTTTGGTATGTGAATTCTATATCAGTAAATCTGTTTTAAGAAAAAATTAAGATGGTGATAAATAGACGTCTCAGAACAGGATTTCTCAAACTCTGCCTGTTCATCTCTTAGCTAGGTAATTCTTAGTGGTGGGGCATCCTGTGCTTCATAGGGTGTTTAGCATCACCCCTGGCCTCCACCCTCTAGATGCCAGTAGCACCCCTTTCCAATTGTGAAAACCACAACTGTTTCCAGGCAGAGGTCTCCTTTAAGGGAAAATTGTATCAGTTGAGAAGCACTGCCCCAGAGTGACGGCTTTGCACAGATCTGGTGAGAAGTACACCTAGATGGGGCCAGGACGATAGAGAGGCTCCGGAAGGAGGTCTCTTGGGGCCGCAGAGGCCTGGAGAGAGAAAACATTAGCTTCCACATTGGCAAAGAAATGAGGTTCTGTGGATCACAGAGCAGCTGGGAGAATGAAGACCCATATAGATATGGGTGAGGCTTCACAGGTGGCTAGGTCATAAAGAATTCACCTGCCAATGCAGGAGCTGCAAGAGACTCAGGTTCAATTCCTGGGTTGGGAAGATCCCCTGGAGTAGGCAACCCACTATGGTATTCTTGCCTGGGAAATCCCGTGGATAGAGAAGCGTGGTGGGTTACAGTCCATGGAATCACAGAGAATTGGACATGACTGAGCGATTAAAAAAAAAAAAGGAATTATAGATATGAATAGTCATGGATATGAGACTTGATGAAACACAGCTCCAGAAAGAACCGAAAGTTATTCAAGGAAGAAAGTGAACTGGTCCTCCAAGTGACTGCAGTGACTGGTTATAATGCTGATGACTGCTGGGTGGGGAGGGGTGGAGGGAACACAGATTTCTGTCATCAAGGCAGATCCTTGTGTACTATCTAAAATGGCTTGGTCACAAAATAGAGGTCCTTGCAGATTGCAAAATAGAGGGAGGAATTATCCACAGAAACCCCTTAAAGAGTTGACAACTGCTTCCTCTGGAAAGTTGGCAGGGGTGGAGGAGGCAGGGCCAGGAGCTGCTGTGTTTTTTTATCTGCTCATCAGTTCTATTGGATTTCTAAATCCATGTGTTCGGTTGCTCAGTCGTGTATGACTCTTTGTGACCCCATGGATTGCAGCATGCCAGGCTTCCTTGTCCTTCACTATCTCCCAGAGTTTGTTCAAATTCATGTCCATTGAGTCAGTAGTGCCATCCAACCATCTCATCCTCTGTCGCCCCCTTCTCCTCCTGCCTTCAATCTTTCCCAGCATCAGGGTCTTTCCCAAGGAGTCAGTTCTTCACATCAGGTGGCCAGAGTATTGGAGTTTCAGCCTAAGCATCAGTCCTTCCAATGAATATTCAGGACTGATTTCCTTTAGGATGGACTGGTTGGATCTCCTTGCTGTCCAAGGGACTCTCAAGAGTCTTCTACAACACCGCAGTTCAAAAGTATCAATTCTTAGTGCTCAGCTTTCTTTATAGTCCAACTCTCACATCCATATATGACTACTGGAAAAACCATAGCTTTGACTAGACGGATCTTTGTTGGCAAAGTAATGTCTCTGCTTTTTAGTATGCTGTCTAAGTTGGTCATAGCTTTTCTTCCAAGGAGCAAGCATCTTTTAATTTCATGGCTGCAGTCACCATCTGCAGTGATTTTGGAGCCCCCCAAAATAAAGTCTGCCACTGTTCCCACTGTTTCACCATCTATTTGCCATGAAGTGATGGGACCGGATGCCATGATCTTGGTTTTCTGAATGTTGAGCTTTAAGCCGACTTTTCCACTGTCCTCTTTCACTTTCATTAAGAGGCTCTTTAGTTCTTTTTCACTTTCTGCCATAAGGGTAGTGTCATCTGCATATCTGAGGTTATTGATATTTCTCCCAGCAATCTTGATTCCAGCTTCTGCTTCATCCAGCCCAGCATTTCTCATGATGTACTCTGCATATAAGTGTGACAGGGTGACAGTATACAGCCTTGACATACTCCTTTTCCTATTTGGAACCAGTCTGTTGTTCCATGTTCAGTTCTAACTGTTCCTTCTTGACCTGCATACAGATTTCTCAAGAGGCAGGTCAGGTGGTCTGGTATTCCCATCTCTTTCAGAATTTTCCACAGTTTGTTATGATCCACACAAAGGCTTTGGCATAGTCAATAAAGCAGAAGTAGATGTTTTTCTGGAACTCTCTTGCTTTTTTGATGATCCAACAGATGTTGGCAATTTGATCTTTGGTTCTTCTGCCTTTTCTAAATCCAGCTTGAACATCTGGGATTTCACAGTTCACGTACTGTTGAAGCCTGGCTTGGAGAATTTTGAGCATTACTTTACTAGGGTGTGAGATGAGTGCAATTGTGCGATAGTTTGAGCATTCTTTGGCATTGCCTTTTTTTGGGATTGGAATGAAAACTGACCTTTTCTAGAGCTAGCCACTGCTGAGTTTTCCAAATTTGCTGGCATATTAAGTACAACACTTTCACAGCATCATCTTTTAGGATTTGAAATAGCTCAACTGAAATTCTGTCACCTCCATATGGAAATAACATACTGTTTATCTGTTAGTGGTGGGACTATGGGAGACTCTGATTTCTTTTTGCTCTTATTTTCTTCTTTAGTTGTCTGTCCCCTCCAGTGACCATCTATTACTTGAGTAATAATCATAGTAGAAACAAAAGGTCTTGGATCTAGATTGCTTTTTGCGGCAGATAACCACTCTGCGGGAGGGGAACGGGCCCTGTCGACTGTTTCAGGTCTTTGTCCTTGTTGAGCGTGAGGCCGATCCACTCGTAGGGCCTGAACAGCCCCAGTGCCTGTGTCTTCCCTGGAAGCAGGCAGGGGCCTCCTGGGACCTGGGGTGTCACATCTTCATGTGGCGCCCCTATTATGGTCAGGACTGAGGTTGGCTGAGGCTGTTGAGGCCTGCCTATTTCCTCAGAACTCCTCAGGAGGATTTAATTAGTGAGGATTTATTGTTCCATTAATGTTGCTTATCTCAAGAGCCAGGGATCTTGCCACTTGGACCAGTGGCTGCTCGTGTTTAAAGTGCCTGGCTAAAAGCTTCCCTGGGTTTTCCTGTGTTTACCCATTTTGTTTGGGACTGTGGTGATGATGATGGAGTCCATTGTTCTGAGGCCCCCAGAAAGTGGGGGGATCCCATTATTGTTGTTGTTGTTGTTGTTTAGTTGCTCAGTTGTGTCCAACTGTTTGCAACCCCGTGGATTGCAGCACACCGGGCTCCCCTGTCCTTCACCATCTCCCTGAGCTTGCTCAAACTCATGTCCATTGAATCGGTGATGCCATCCAACCATCTCATCCCCTGTCGTCCCCTTTTCCTTCTGCCCTCAATCTTTCCCAGCATCAGGGTCTTTTCTAATGAGTTGGCTCTATGCAAAAGGTGGCCAAAGTATTGGAGCTTAAGCTTTAGCATGGTGATGATGGTGGAGTCCATTGAACTGAGGCCCCCAGAAAGTGGGGGGATCCCTCAAGTCCCCTAAAATCGAATGCAGTGGATCTGTCCATGTTTCCTTCCTGTAATCTACTGGTAGGGCCAGGATAGGTGTCTCTCAAGACTGGCTCAGATATTTGTTTGTGAAGGAAGCGCCCCCAGCAACCTAAGTCTCAGGCTGTCAGTGCTCAACTCTGAGCCTGGGCGTGGGGGCTGAGATGGGCCTCTCTCCCGGCAGGCACCGGAATCGGGGGAAGCTCAGTGACCTGGTGGCTGAGCACCTGGACCACTTGCACTATCTCAACGACATCCTCATCATCAACTGCGAGTTCCTCAACGACGTGCTCACGGACCACCTGCTCAACAGGCTCTTCCTGCCGCTCTACGTGTACTCACTGGAGAACCAGGACAAGGTGCGCCCGGGCGGGGGCGTCTGCAGGCGGGAGGAGCAGTCACCCCAGGGGGACAGGGCTCTGCAAGGGACTGCGGCTTGGAGCCTGAGGGACAGTCCTTTCCTTCCCTTTTCTTTCCTGAGAGTGGGGTGAAGGAGAGGGTGGGAGGGAGGGAAGGAGAGAGAGAGACGGACAGAGCGTATGAGCGTGTGTGTGTGTGTGTGTGTGTGTGTGTGGCCAGTAAATGAATGAGAAAAGATTACTGACATCCAAAGGAGACAGGAAACCTCTACAAATTCAGGGTTTTGGTTTCTGCGCCTCCTTCTCCTGAGGTGCTCTCATCCCTGCTCACTTTTTCGGCTAGTTGCCAGAGCTAATTGACTTGGAGAAGATCCAGCCGGCTGCAAAACTTGAATGGCTGGAAGGGGATGGAGCGCACCCAGGAAAAGGTCCCGGGGCAGAGACTGTCCGCGGTGACAGGCGGCGGAGCCCTCGGAGGGTTGGAGCCCGTTCATGGGCTCTTTCTCAGATATGCCCTCTCCCTCTTCTCAGAGTTTCTGGCTCAGGGGTCTGGAGGGCACTGGGACCCTGCCCCCGAAGTGATTCTGAGCTGGTGGTTCTCAGTGCCCGCCCCCGAGAAAAATGCCACTGCAAGGAGAGGGGACCTTTGGCCAGTACCTCCGAGAATGAAGGGGCAGAGGCCTTGGCAGGAGGTGGGACAGAGCCAGCTGGTTACTCTGCAGGGATTTCAGCCTCTGTGTGTGTCCCGGCAAGACGGGGGTGTAGCTTTCTTTTTGGAGACAGAGCATGGGGCTTCTAGCTACAAACAAGTGACTCAAAGAAAACCGCAGCCCTAACGAGAGCGACCTAATGCTGCTCTGGAAGTGGAGAGAAAGCTGGGGAATTGGCATTTTCAGACCTGGGTTTAAATTCTGCCTCTGTCCTTGTGACCATGGCGCAGGCAGTCGACCTCCCTGAGCAAAACAAGGGTCCTGAAGACCCTTACAGGTTCGGTAGGAGATGGAGCTCACTGGAGCCCGGTACAGATGAGGGGCTTCTCTGAGACCAGGCTGCCCTCACCTCTCCTGCCCCACTTCCTGAGCACAGGCCCCTGGGGCCTCTCTTGCTAGGCTCTTGGTGCCCCAGCTGGGAGATTAACATTCTTGGTAATTTAAGGAGCTGGTTCTTCTCTTGGGTCCAGCATCTAATCAGTGACTCATGCTGAAAGGTTTCTCAGGTGAAAGGTTAGCAGCCTTGCAAATAGCGTCAGATGGGATTTTTGTTGAGTCGCTCAGTCATGTCTGACTCTTTGGGACCCCTTGGACTATAGCCCGCGAGGCCTCTCTCTCTGTGGGATTTCCCAGCCAAGAACACTGGAGCGGGTTGCCATTTCCTTCTCCAGGGGATCTTCCCGACTCAGGGATCGATCCCATGTCTCCTGCATTGGCAGGCAGGTTCTTATCACTGCACCACCTGGGAAGCCCATCAGATGGGATGCGGTGTGAGTGTATTTTGCAGGGTGGACTTTGCCACCAGGAAAGAAGAGCCTTAGGGTCTTGGAGGAAGTTGGGGTGCTGGGTGCCGCTCACTCAGACAGATGGCCTCTGGCTTTGTGTATTTCGCACCACTCACATGTGTAACCCAGACTTCTCTCACTCCCCTGCCTTCTCCAGGGAGGAGAACGACCGAAGATCAGCCTGCCGGTTTCTCTCTACCTTCTCTCCCAGGTATGTCTGACCCTTCACCCATGTCCCCACCACACTGGGGGTCCCGGGGCACTGCCGCCTTTCAGAAGTTTCCCGGGCCACCTCACTCCATCTCTGTGTGCGTCCCTCATCTTGAAATATAACAACCCTGAGTCAAGGGGCCATGTATCTTCTTCATGGTAGTACTTGGAAATTTAAAAAGAAGTGAGAAATAAGTCAAGCCTGGCAGATATGTTGTTGGTTTTTGCTGTGGGGCCCGAGCTTTCCAAAACAACCAGGGAGTGTTCTAAATACCCTGAAAACGTGGCCTGTGCAGTCCCTGCTTACGGCCATCTTGAAAGAGGCCCAAAGCTGCAGGACCCAGCGTGTGTTCACAGAGCCACTGCGGTTTAACCAGTTCCCACTAACGAGGCCGTTGTCGTGGTCCCAGGGCCCACGTTACCTTCTGGAAGGTATCTCGTAGCAGCCTCAGTACCCACATTTGTGTCTTGAGCCAACTTGTCTGCCTCCCCGTCTTCAACAAGTGTGTCTCCTTCTCGTAATTATGTAATATTTACAAGAAGGGAAAAACTCCATGGCGACCCAGTTACATAACTTTAAAAATATTTTTATTACAAGCAGTGTAGACTCTCAGGCCATCTCATTAGACTGTCAAGCAGTCAGACGTTTGACCAGAGCTCTGTTCCCACTTCTGCAGCAGCCCAGGTATTCATTTGCTCTGCTGAGAGAATGTCTTTCTCACCGGGTCCTGAGCCATTTTGCGTTTGAGGTGGGGCCGTCTCCTGTTGGCCTGGGAAGAGAGATGTCAACCCGGCTTCTTCCCAGTGGCCGGGCCAGCCGGGCTAGCACGTGGCTGGCTCACGTTACTCCAGGACTCTCGTTCTGGGGGCTCCGTGTGCTGGGAGCTGCATGCTGACGCCTGAATGCCCCTCTGTGTGATGGAGCTCCCTGCAATCCCCTGCCCCTCCCGGCAGCTGTTTCCGCCACCTCGTTACCAATCGTCCTGCTTCCCCCTTCCTTCTCCCAAGGATTCTGGGAGCCTGGCAGGAGTGAGCCGGCCAGATGCAGAACCGCAGGAATCCTGTGGCAAGCGCCCCCAGCACCCTTCAGCTGCTGGCACACCCCAAGGATCACCAGGGTCAGGCCACGCTTTTTTCTCCGAGAACCCCCTTTCTCCTGCTTTCCTAGTAAAGGCCCAGCAGCCCAGGCAGCTCATTACGTGTTTCAGTGTCTCACAAAAAGCCTGTCACTGGTGTTTCTCAGCCTGAGTAAAGGGCTCTCGCACTCCTGCATTTCCATGGAACTTGATCATCATGCGGCCCGAATGTGTGAAAACCTCAAATGGGGCATGAATTCTGGTCCTTAAACTCTGCATCAGAGCATCCTTCTGAATTATTTTTCAAGGGTCTCTGCTAAACCAAGAAAATTTGTGTTGATGACATTAATTTGGTGTGATGGAGGTGTGTGGCTGAAACTACACCACCACTGGGGACAAGAGCGTGACTTGGACAGGCTAGCCCAGCCTTTGAATCCGGCGGGCACATGCTTCCACCCATCTCCCAGTTACTCGCTGCCCCCTCCCCGCTTTCCTCTGTCCAGGGCTCAGCCGAGAGTGAGCACCACGTGTGTGCACACTGGCCGTCACCAGGTGGCCCCATAGGTGTTCCCTGAATGTTTGTGGACAGAGTTCCTTCGTCATCATCGTGCTCACTCACATGTGAGTGCCTGCCACAGCTCCCGACATGGGCTAACCAGCTTTCTCATGCTGTATAGTCTGTGGTAGCTGGTATCTCCTCAGTGTTATAAAAATAGATGTGCTTTTTTTTCCCCTTAGGTGGGTACAACATTTGTTTATTCTACCATGCCTTTCATCTGAATTGTATTTATTTTTTTGAACAATATTTTCACTTTCCTCAAATAATACAAAGTGACATGTAGGGAGAAGTTCCCTCTTACCGCTGCCCCCCACATACCCAGTCCCACTCCCCAAAGGCAGCTGCTATTTTAGTCTCTACCTCTCTCTTTTTTTTTTTTTTTACATTTTTAAATAATTTTTTTAAGTGATAAAGTTCAAGCAAGTGAAAACCAGGTTGTCTTTCTACTTTTTTTTTGTTCAGTCTCCTGATTTCTCTCTCCAGAAACAACTATAGTTATAGGGTTTCCCCAGATCCTTCCGGAGACCTTCTCAACTGGCGGCGATTTCACCCCCAGCCTGGGGACGGCTGGCAGTGTCTGAAGACGTTGCTGGTTGTCATGCCCGGGGCGGGGGGGGGTGGGGGTGGGGTGTGGTTGGCATCTAGTGGTTTGAGGCCAGAGATGCTGCCAGATATCCTATAATGCCCAGCTGTCCACCCACAGCAAGGATTTATCACCAGACAAGAGTGCCAAAGAGGGACTTCCCTGGCAGTCCAGTGGTTAAGACTTCGCCTTCCAATGCAGACGGTGCAGGTTCAATCCCTAGTTGTGGAACTAAGATCCCAGATGTCTCGAGGCCAAAAAACCAAAACATAGAACAGAAACCATTATTGTAACAAATTCAATAAGGACTTTTAAGATGGTTCACATCAAAAAAATCTTAAGGGGGCTGGCCATACTTCCTTCGACTACAGAGTGATCAAAATTACTCTCTCTGAGGCTAGTTCGAGACCCGCAGGCGCTCTCTAGTCCTTCAAAACAAAAAAGTGCCAAGATTTGGAACCCCTGTTGCATGTATATATGAACAAATACAGACGTGCGCACACACCCTCTGATGTACAGACAGTGGGTCCATCCCACACTGCCCTGGGGTGCTGGTGTTACCGCTACATCTTAGAACACACTGGTAGGTGTGTCTGAGCTGGCTCTCCAAGGCGGTGTGGGTACCCTGACTCCCCAGGCCGTTCTTTTGGACGTCAGGCAACAGGGCGGAGTGGCCGGGCTACCCCTCGACAGCCCAGTGCCTTCTGATGCTTGCCGCCTGGCACAACTCCATCTGTCTCTAGCCCGAGCGGCTTTTCCTCCCCACAGTTTCCACACCTCTCAGCGCCGCCCTGGAATTCTCGGGTGCTCAAACCCACCACAAGGGGAAGAGCTCACTCCATGGGTGGGATCTCTTGAGTGGCCAGCCCTCTGCCAAGTCCTCAACTAGAACAAGGCCTGCTGGCCCCTTCCTCTGTGTAGGGGCTACGCAGGGGCTAACTGAAGGGCTAAGCTGGGGCCTCCTAGTCTTATCCTAAACAGATTTGACACTGAAATGCTTGCGGAGAGAAAAGAGGGTGCGGGTTTGGCGCTCCCTTCCCACATGGCTTCACTTCAGCCTGATTTGGCTTCAGGCGGCCAGGAGGGACAGTCGTGCTTTAACGCACTTCCGTCTGCCAGCGAGCAGCCAGCCAAATAGGCAATGGTCTGAAAGAAGGAGGGCCTGACCCTAGGAGGAGAGAAGTACAACTCGTTTCTCCCAGATGTGCCCCATTCTCTGGGTTTCGCGTCACTGGGATTGCCGCTAAGAGGCTTGTGCAGTAGCCCAGCCTCGTCATTTCAGGTCAAGGAAGGAAGAAGTTGAAATTCGTCTACATGCTTTAATGCAAATCCTAATTTTTTTTTCTCCTTCACCAGGTCTTCCTAATTATACATCACGCACCCCTAGTGAACTCGTTAGCGGAAGTCATTCTGAACGGTGATCTGTCCGAGACATACGCTAAGCCCGAACAGGATGTTCAGAGAAGCTGTGTAAGTCATTAGCGGGGGGACTGTCTCAAGACCCTGTTAAGACACTGTGGCTCATTTTGTTCACCTGTTTCTCTCAAACCAAAGACCGACATCCTGCTCATTACAGCACTGATGAGGCATAAGCTGGTCTGGGATTCAGGGAACCTCATCAGTCTTGACATGCCCAGAAGCTGGGGTTGGGTACTGAGAGTGGATTTGACTGTGCGTGTGTTATTGAACTTGGGATCGTCCTGTTCTGGGCTTCTGGCTGTGTATCTGTGGGGCACTGTTATTGTGGCAGGTTGAGAGAATACTTTGTCTCAGGCCCCGCTATCTACAGAAGCCGGGCAAGGAATATCTGAATGACACGGGCCCCGGGAGAGGACAGTAGGGAGCAGTGGCGACTGTGACAAATTGGGAGTGTATGTGTCCTTCGTGAGCAGTTACAGCTCACCCCAGCCTGCAGTCCTTCTGCAGTTATGTGGATAAAATACACTGTGGCCAGGTCCTCTCGTGTCTCTGGAGATGCTGCTGCTACTGCTGCTGCTAAGTCACGTCAGTCGTGTCCGACTCTGTGCGACCCCATAGACAGCAGCCCACCAGGCTCCGCCGTCCCTGGGATTCTCCAGGCAAGAGAACCGGAGTGGGTTGCCACTGAAGCTGCATTTTGAGGCCAATACTCCCAAGTTTTAAATGATCACCAGCGTGGCCTGAACTGCATGTTTATGGTTTGTCACGTTTATGCATTTGGTGCTCTGCTGAAGGGAAGCCCCAGTCACTGGGGCGTTGACTTCTCCCGAGGCCTTCCCTGCTTGGCGGGCCTGCCTCCCCGCCTCCCATGCTGCTCACTCCGTCCTGGCGCCTCTTGCTTGGTGCCCAGAGGGCCCTGTGCTTTCCTGCCACATTTGTGCTTGGAAGGCCTTTGTTCCCTGTTCTCTCTCGTCCAGGGCCTTACCTGTTCAGAGCAGGCATCTTATCTGCTATTGACTCTTGTGCATGTCTGAGATGAGTAGTGCTCACACACAGGCCCTGTCTCTGCAGCCCTGTTCTCAGGCAGCCGGCACACAGGTGAAGCGGCTGGGCTTACCTTTGAGCAGTCGACTCTGTTGTCATATCTGAGCTAGTGGGTGGAGTGTGGTCCTGGAGCATGAAGGGCCAGAACTCCGTGGAGTGCAATTACACGAGGCCCCTGCCCTTCTGCTTTTCCTGGTTTGCAGTGTCTTGGCCAGGCTGCTGTGCTCTTTAAGGGAAATCAGAACCTCTGAAAAGGTTTCCAGAAACCTCTGTCCTCACTGGTGGTGGCGTTAGTTCAGCTGAATTGAATGAGGTCTTTTCGTGGCCCCTGTCTGGTTTGTCCTTCTTCAGTTTGTTCAAGAAGTATTTATTGCACCCTTTCTTTGGATCAGGCATTGTACTAGTTCTGGTAATATACAAAACCTAAATAGCCCCTGTCAGGCCGGATCTTTACGGTTCCGCAGGAGGGGCAGAACATTGTTAAAACTTACAAGCAAGGCTATTATTTCAGGTCTTAGAAATGCTCCAAAGAGCAGGAGTAGTGTTTGATGAGAGGATTTAGCTTGGAAGTGATGAGGGTGAAGAGTGTTGAACAGAAAGGATTCCCCTAGTGGTCCATGATGTGACAACACATGGGCTGGAGAACGTGGAGCCGACAGTGTTAATACTGTTGATACCACTGGAGATGTTTCTTTGCAGCTTTCTTAAACTCTCTTTTGCTGAATGAAAGTAAGTTACAGAGCACTGAGTGAAGAATCAGTAGGGTCTCCAAGCAGGGCTGTTGAGGACCCCTCCAGCCTTGGGGTTGCCCTGGGCAAGCCATTTTACCCCATTTAGGGAACAGCGAATGTCAGTCCCGCTCGGGAAAGCTGTTTGGTTTGGTCTTCTCAGTGTTAGAAAGAAAAGTTTATAAGCCGCCCACCAACTTAAAATTTGGGAAGTTTCACATGAAAGTCCAGATTTCAGGATGGTCTTAACAGTCTGAAGATCTGGTCCCGGTTGTGCCTGTGTTGCTGTAAGAAGCTTCTCAGAGGCCGCCCCCTGCCCCCATCAGACGAGTCATGTGTCGGCCATCAGATTTGCCCAGTCCCCACGCAGCCAGCTGGTAACTCACACTACAGTTATGTTAATAACAGATGAAAATGTAGTGGGTTCCTTCAGACTTCGTTCTGTCGCATGATTTCCAGACCCCAGGATCGCTGTTAACTGCAGTTAGACTTAGCGTTCCAAGAGGTGAACACAGAGACTGTTGGGGTGCTTGGATTTGCAGGGCTTTTCATTGAAATTGATTGACATGCAGTTGCAGGAAATAAAACAGAGTGATCTGGTACCCTTTCCCTAGTTTCCCCAGGGGTGACGTCTTGCAAAACTCTAGGACAGTATCACAAAGCTGGATATTGACATCGGTACGTGGCATTTGGAATTAGAGCAAAAGCAAATGGCAGGAAGTTGCTGACAACCTCTCAGCTCTGGATTCCCACTTTAGTTGAACCTCTGATTGGCAGGATTATCTCTGAGATTTGCTCATTTTCCCAACAGCCTTCTCTCCTCCCGCCTCCATTGTGATAGACACACAGTGCTCCTGGTGGAGACACCTGAACTAAAAATGAAACACTTTTGTGTGTGTAAAAACTCACCAGCCCAAGTGAAAGTGTCAGCCTTCTACTTCGGTTATTACCTTTCCCTGAATGTGAAATCGAAGTCTGTTGTGTCTTGACAACTGCTGTTGAAATTCGGGAAGGGCTTCTCTCATCAACAGCTTGTTTGACAATAGTCCTTGTGAGATTTATCTTCCTTCCCTCCAAGCAAGAACAGACTCCTATTGTTTCCTGCCTGACTCGGATGTGGTTTGATCATACTTGTTTTAAGTTTCTTGGTCTTTTTTAACCTACTTTCTCCTTCCCGTAATTTGTTAGATAAGTTACTGGTATTGCTTCATTTTACCAGCAGACCTTTCACAAAACCAAACCAAAATTGAAGAGAGAGAAGCAGAGGGGAGAGCAGAGTTACTTGAAAAGTCTGTAATTTAGGGTTAAATTGAAAACACATCAGCATGCTTAGATAGACGTCTAATTGGAATTCATCTGTGCATTAAAACCATATGGTCCCCACGAAGGGATAACTCTGGCTGTAACTCTAACGCAGAGCAGAGTTTTCTTGTCGGGGGAAACAGAGTAAGAGAACACTCATTCTGAAACCACCAGCATCTCATTATTTTTGCAAAATGAACATACAGATTAAATTATGGGATGTGCATCATTACCTGTAGGTACTTTTCTGTTTTTGAAGGGACTTTTTTCATCCTGGTTTCTGTGGAATGGCTTCCTTGGTTTTTGCATTCATTCATCCATTCCCTGAGCAGTGATGCGCTGGTGCCCAGGACGGACACGCCCCCTGCCCTCCTCACTGGGCTCCCCATCCCCCGCAAGGACAGGGGATCCTGGCTTGGAGACGCCTGTGCTGCCCCAGGGCTGGCCGGAGATGCCTGGGGGTCTGCCGCAGCCCCGATCAGCTTAGTGGGTGAACTGGTGGCAGGGTCACAAGGGCTCCTGTGATGTTCTTCTTGACTCTCAGAACCTGACCCTCACAGGGCACCTTCTCTTTGCTCAGGGGGCGGTTCCCCATTCTGTCTGGTGCGGTGGACTCTGAGCTAGGCTGCCTGGGCCCCTCAAATCCTGGCTCCTTGTCTTACTAGGTGTGTCTGGGGCAAGTTCGTCCACCTCTCTGGGTTTCCATGTCCTCACCTCTCCAATCAGAATAACAACCGTGCGTTTGCAGGGAGGATTAAACGCAGCACATGCTCAGTTGCTAAGTCGTGTCCATCTCTTTGCAACCCCATGGACTGGAACCTGCTAGGCTCTGTAAAGTGCTCCCTGGAAGGACTGATGCTAAAGCTGAAGCTCCAGTCCTTTGGCCACCTGATGCGAAGAGCTGACTCATTGGAAAAGACCCTGATGCTGGGAAAGAGTGAAGACAGGAGGAGAAGGGGGTGACAGAGTATGAGATTGTTGGATGGCATCATTGACTCAATGGACATGAGTTTGAGCAAACTCCAGGAGATAGTGAAGGACAGGGAAGCCTGGCATGCTGCAGTCCGTGGGGTCGCTAAAGAGTCAGCTGAGCAACTGAACAACAAAGTGTTTATTCCAAAGCCTAGCATGCCTCAGGGCCTAATTAGCAGATGCTAGCTTGATAGTGCTCTGAGTTTCTGAGGCTTCAGAACAGCCCCACGTCCCCTACTTCCCTTGTTGGGGTGATTAACACAGAGGCATACTCAGTGCTCCCCAAAGGGAGGCGCCCTGTGACCAGACACAGGGCAGAGAGGGTCAGGTGTTGGCGGCCACAATGACGATGATGACAGCAATGATGGTGGCCTGCTTTTGCACGTCGCCCGGTAGTGTTAGCGTCTGAGCCCCTGTGTGCAGCTGGGCCTGCTGCTCAGCTGGCCCCGGGGCCCACTCTGGAAAGTGCGGATGCTCAGCCAGTCAGTGCACATTCACGCGCTTGGCTGGCGCTGAATTCAGAGTGGGAACAGAGAATTCTAGGGCTCAAGAGGCTGGTTTGTCCCCAGAGGAGGATGTCCGCCATCCCGCAGTAGGCACCAGTTCAGCCAGTTGGGACGGTCTCCAGATGATTCTTGGGGGATCCAGAAAGGTGAGCAGACACCTGAAACACTGGCCGCCGGTTCTCCGCATAATACCTGTCCACCCTGGGAGCTGGACCCTCTGCTGGCAGAAGGCTCCGCCGGGATGTGGCACGTGGAGCCCAAAGCTGAGGGAGCGGCGGCTGGGCTTCTCTGGCATGTGAGTTTGCAGGAGCAGAGCGTCCCTTATCACTGGCTTGGCTCGTGGCTGCACAGCGGGCCTTCCGACCCAGGCTCGGATCAGATGGCAATGAAGCCCCCACCGGGCACTGAATGCATCTGGTGGAAGAGCCCCCCCTGCAGCTGGGATTGCAGTTCCCCCGCATCTTCTGTGCCCCTGACCTTACCTGTGACCCCCACGGCA